TGTCAACGAATGCAAAAATGTCACGTCACAACTCTTCAACCGAGCATGAAATTATATTGAGAAGGATTATAGATCGGTCTCTATTCAAATTGGCATCCAACATTAAGCGGGTGGTTGGGATTGTTTATTTAAAGGCTTAAAGAACAATATACTTTTTTTATAAGGGTTATTACCAAAAAGTATTAAAAATAATTATCGATAATTCTTAGCGTCGTTTGGTTCGCTGGAATCTGTTGGAATTGGAAAGAATTAGAATTTAATTCAATCACTTTCCTATGTTTGGTTCAAGTTTTGAGAATGAATTGGATTCCTAAATGTGTCCAACTTTCCTTCCATTGATTAAAAATAAATTTCATCTAAAAGATGAGAAAATTCAAATTCCTTCAAGTGGGAATGTTGAAGATTACCATATTACCCTTTTCATTTTTAACATTAAATATGAAAAACCTCCGTCACTACTCGCGACCACCTCCACCACAACCTTCGCCATCACTACCCACCACCACCACCTCCGCCACCCACCCACCACCACCAGTAACCATCACCACTAATGTCGTCGCCACTGCCACCACCTTCGCCACCACCATCCACCACTACCACCGCTTCTGTTACCACCATCACCATCGCCGACACCACTACCACCACCACCGTCACCACCACCACCACTACCACCACTACCCAAAACCTCTGTTACCACCTATACCACCACCCTACCAATACCGTTGTTACTACCAACTCTATCATCACCACCATCACCTCTATTGCCACCACCACCACCACCACCGTCGCCGCCACCTGCACCCACCACTACCACCACTACCGACATCCACAAGCACCACCGCCTCCACTAACACCCACCGCCACAACCACCACTGCATCTACCATTAACACTAGTGATGCCACTACTACTACCACCTCCACCTTCGTCACCACCACACACTACCGCCATCACCACCACCGTCGCTTCTGCCACCATCGCCGCTGCCACCACCACCGTTTACTATTTCTATAATTTATATAATATATCTTTACATATAATTATAAAAAAAAAAAAGTAAAAGTAAGCAAAAACCAAGAATGGTAGTTCTGTCATTTTACACTATTCCAATTCCATTTTCCGCAAACCAAACAAAATATAAAATTCGATTCAAATTCCATTTGTTGCTAACCAAACAGAATATTAAATTAGATTCCAACTCAAGAGAGATTCCAATTCCTTAACAGATTCCAATTCCTTCAAAAACATTATGCGAACAAAACGCCGCCTCACTTTTCTTTTTAAGTCACTTATTTTCTTATTATGCTATGTCATTAATTATTTTTCATGTTTCATTTACACCATTAAAATTTATTTTTACGATATGTAGTCTCCATTTTGATTTGTTATTATTGAGGCTTGATAGGTTGTAATTAGGATAAAACTATTATTTGGATATAAATGAACAAACATATTGAATGAAACGTTGGATACCACACAAGTGTTGAAGACCACTTTATCAAGTTTAAATCAACTCTATGGTGTAATAAAAATAAAAAAATAAAAAAAATAAAAAAAGGAAAAAGAAAACTTTATTAACGTATTGAGTGAAATTAAAAGAAAAGATAAATGACTTTAAAAACAAATTGAGAGTTACTGGTGACCATTTTGTACCATTAACTATTTGTATAAAAGTGTTTATCAACTTATGTGTTATCAAAACAAAGTATATGAAAACGTATTTGAATACGAGATACGAAAATGTGATAAATTGGTAAGTTGTTTTTAGTGTGTAACAAATTCTACTTTTATATATATATATATATATATATATATATCTATATATATATATATATATATATATATATATATATAGTTAATATTTTTTTTTTATTTCATCCACACATTAAAAAAATGCTTATATGGTACCAATGTATAAAAAGTTAATAAACATCTTAAATAAGAAATATCAAACACACTAAAAATATTGATATATGGATTTATGAATACAATTCTGATGATCATGTCAATGGAATTGTCCCTATCGTATATGATAGCTAAAGTTTTCATATATCCAATATATTATTTTACCCTCTATAAAAACAAAAGCATGATTTCCTACCCCGAAGGAAGGGGACATGATTTGGTTGTTTCAAACTGTACATAAAATTTGGAAAATAATATTACAACATATATAATAGTGGCGAAGAAGTACTCAAATTAATGACAAGTCTCACTTATGAGTAATAGTCCTTGGTTTTGTCTTTCCAAATTATAACGATACATATAGATCGTTGAAAAAACTTCCTCAAGGGACCTCTCATAATTGTCGAGCAAAGCATTTTGCTCAATATGCTTCTGAGTATGAAATATCAACACTAAACTGGTTATTAAGAGTCCATATGTTCTTTTTCCCCGTAACAGGCGTGTTTGGCACGAAGCTTTTGGAAGCGTTTGGAAACTTCTAGCTTTTAGCTTTTGACAAAACGCTCTAGTTTAAACAAAAAGCTTCGTTTGGCAGTACGAGCGTTTAGCTTTTAGTTTAAACAAAACGCTCCAAATCTAAAAACTACTTCATGTAGCGTTTAACAAAACGCTGCTGAGCTTTTGAAATCAATTTTCATAATTACCCTTAAAAATATATTTATATATTTATTTATTTTTAATCAATTGTCATTTTATGTAATTTTATATATTTCAAAAGTTACCAGCTACTTTTACTAAACACTCATATAACAAATCAAAGCTATAGCTTCCCGCTACCAGCTACCCGCTACCGACTACCAGCTAACCGCTACCCGCTTCTAGCTAACAACTACTTTTGCCAAACACGCCCAACATATTGCATGTACTATATTCTTTATGAAGTGGCCTAAAACTTTATTTTTGGTATGGAGATGATGAAGACACATGTGTGTCCTTGCATAAGTGTGCTCGTTAATTGACCTTCGATCTTGAAAAAGTTAATTATTTTTCATCTCTCATATCCCTAATACACGATTTACAATCTTTGGTACGAAAAATCGCTTCAAGCCTATTTCATAAATTTTGTGGTTGTAATTTTAAATCCATCTTCAAAAAAATCCATTCCCAATGCTAGCGTCGTATCTTCTTTTAGAACAATTGAAACTCTTTGATACATGATGAGGGTTTACAAATAATTAATGGGTTATATTTGTGGGTAGTTTCGAAAAATGGTAGTAGATGAGGCAATCTAGTCTACGAAGGGGATTGATATGTAACTATGCTTTTAACGTCGCTTTGGGAAACTTGCTTGACAAAAACAACATCACGTATTAGGATGCATAATAGTAACAACACGTACACATTTAATGTCATTGTCATCTGCATAAGAACGTTTGTTCCATGACATTATCAAGAGAAACATATATGATTTACTTGTAACCTTACCTTGGAAGCCACCAAGTTAACCAACAAAAAATATATAATAAATCAAATTCACACCATAACATTTGTAATCATATATAATATACTACATAACACCATCGACTTACTCCAATGACACTGTAGTACAAAAGAGACGCTAAATATATGTTTATATAAATTCACTAGGTTATAACCCGTTGACACCACGGATGAGAAAAATAAAAATAATTTTAATTATATTTTAATGTAATTATTAAGCAATGATAATAAAAAATTTAATAATTTATAAATATATATGTTTTGTTAGTAAGTTCATAATGATATTCACTATTATGAATATCCAATTTACATTTTGTATTTTTAGAAATTTGATAAAATCATGAATTTTTATGATGCAATTTACAATTGAGTATAATGGAAAAAACATAATAAATCATGGAAATGACATTGACATATGTCAAATTAACCGTTACAAACGTGACAATAATGTAATAAACATAAATAAATACAACACAATAAATTATAACTTAAAATGATGAATGAAGTGTGATTTATTATAATTAAGTAAAAGATGCTATTGAAAATTAAAATAACATAGATAATAACAAAAACATAGTTGTTAATCATAAATTTGTAAAAACTTACTTGTATACAACATTAGATGCTCTCTTAGTACATGAACCATCGTTATCTATAATTAATATTTTTATTTTTTTTCTACAACGGACTATGAGTGAATACTTTGTCTTAGAAACAAACCAACCTTATGACTTTTATTTATTGTTATCGCAATATGTACATAAGTATAATTTAAAAAAAAAATGAAATGTGAAAAACAATTATTCTTACCATTGGTAATGTTAAATAACAAATTTATAACATTTCAATTTGAAGTGAGGGATTGTAAGCTTGTATGTTGATATATAATCGAATTATTTGAGTTGACATTTTCATTTGCAGATGCGGTATTTTTCAACTTAATTTCAAGATTTTAAATGTTAGTGACGATTTTACACATGCAATATAATGATAATATTAGTTAATAACAAAAAACTATTAATTGTTAATTAGAAAAATTATAACACATTAGATAATTGTTTTATAAAAATTATAGTGTACATAAAATATAACTGAAAATGATAATATTATTGTTCTCAAAACTTATGTGCTAAATGAACCTTGAACATTTGATGCCGATGATAATTGTTTTGGATTTTCTGTTATTCAAATATAATTTTAAATTTTATGTTTGTTCTAGCATCGGCATAATCTATGTCTTTTGAATCCATAAAAGAAGAGAAAATTATCTAATAACAAATATGATGGAGATTAAAAGGTATTTTATAAACTCAATGATTACAATTAGAAATCTTAATGCGGTAGAGGGAGATGCATAAAATGCCAAATTCAAATCTTATATCCGGAATTGTTATATTTTTGATTTAGATATTATAAATATTATACATATACAAAAATTGTTACAGAAACAGAAACATAAAGGTTTTAATTTTCATTTACACAAATACGAAGTTAAATTTTAATTTTCATTTACCAAACCTATTAATCATCAAATTATTCTATGTTTAACTTATTATTAAATACACCTGTTAATAAAAAAACAAATACACTCTTGTTCGTCAGACTTCAAATGTATCTGAAAGGGGAAAAAACATGATTCCTATATTTCCCTAACCCTACCCTAGTGTCTCTTTTCTTGCATCCATCGAAGAACACCGACCTTCATCCTTGGCTCTTGCCCCTGCATCTCGGACGTCACAGATGACCACCGCCTCTGTCTCACAGACGACCGTCGCAGGTGTTGCACAACACACCGCCGTCGCACATCACTCCCGGTATCATTTTTGCCTGCACAGAAACGATGAACTTCCCTCCTCAGCCCTCCTCAAATCGCCGACGCCTCCAGACCTCCGTCCTAGTTCCACTCTGTCATTATCGCCACTCCGGTTAGCTTCTTGCCCTAATGGCCACTTGTTTTTATCAATATTAAGAATCCTTAAATGGCATTTTTCTGCTGGAATCGATATTATGAAATCGTTTTTTCTGTTGAAATAGTTTTTATGTTGCTCGATCTTATGGTGTTCCGCTGAAAATTTGATATGATACAAATATACAGGTTGAATTCTATTTGCTCACATAGATTTTTTGTGTTAAAATGTTTGTTAATGAATTGAAAACTTGATCACTCAACATTACTTAATTTGCAGTTATCAAGAGTGATTTTGGGACAATTTTATTAAGATACATGTGAAGTACATTGAGTTCATGCTTTGATTCAAAATCTGATTCAAAAGGTATCAAATCAAATTCTGCTTGATACAAGGGTACATATGAGATACTTTGAGTTCATTGTTTGATTCATAAACTTCTTGTTGATTCAGTTTGTTTAATTATTTTGTTTTTGAGATAAATCCTATGACATATTTTGACAATGGTTGTTAATCATAAATTTAATATTATACTAAAATAATTACCCAAGATTGTACTTTCAAAGTAAAATAGTTTATTAAGAAAAAAAAATTAACAAATACAATGATTTTTTTTGGAGTTGGATGTATTTTCAGTAAACAAAAGTTCAAATTTTGATACTTAAGATGCGATATTTTATGTGATTATTCCTGTCAAATATTTAGGTAATCCATTGTTGTAAAAAAAGATTGATTTTTATTTATTTACTACAATACATGATTATCTTGTTAGACTGTTAAGATTTTTTTGATTATTTACACACTCCAATCATTTTATAATGAAAAGAAGGCAAATTTATGTTTTTGATGGTGAATTTAACTATAATTTTGTTTGTCTTTATGTAAATACGATTTGGGGCTCTAAATTTCCCTATGTAGGATGTTTTGTTGGCTGCAATCATTGAGTGTTATGATGCTATATTATAGTATATATTGTTAATTTATTTGGTTTTAAATACTTTGTTCTCATAGGTTAAGCCACAAGCTAATAGAAGGAATAATTCATTAGAGGAACCACCTAGTATGGCTGAGTTGTTTAATAGTTAATTGTATTTATATAGCTGCAGAAAAAATAAATAAAAGGTTTCACTTAAATTTGATGAAAAATATATGTAAAATAAAAGACATGATGAACACAACAAATATATTCCTATATGTTGTTATTATTTGCATTCAACTTCGGTTTGCATATGCTGTCCAACATTGAAAAATAATGGTAAATAATGTTGAAAACATTATTCTTATTAAATGATTCGAAATAGTTTTTTAAAATTTATATCTATAACAACTTCGAAGTACCTTTATTCATATAAAGGGTAAAGTTGTCCAACATTAGAAATATCCATACTTTTAACAATCTAAAGCAATGTACTAAACCAAATCTGAAAAAAAAAAATCTGTGCACTCCTAGGTTATGTGCAGAAACAATAGCATAAAAAACTATTCTTAATTAACAAAAATTAAAAGATATAATTTCCAAAGAATATGTAAAGGGTAAAATTGTCCAACATTATAAATAAAGGGTAAATAACCTTTTTCTTATTAAAAGATTCGAAGTAGTTTTTTACAATTTATATAACAAAGAAATTTTCGTACATTACAAATATCCATACTTATTTACAATCTATAGCAATGTAATTTCATCATTTTGCTACTACAAAATTCAAAGCATAACAGATTAACACTTATAGTCTTCGGTTTCTGTTATGGTGATTAATATGACTAGTGATTCACTCTGTGTGTAAGTATCAGAAAAATGATGATTTTGTCTATAAGATAAAATATACACAAAGCAACAGAAAGAGAAGAATATAGATATATAATCAAAATAAGAATAAGAATCACAAAACAGAATTGCATTGTTTATATGTGAAAGAAATGTATACAGAAAGGAACAGAAGGAGGTGAATATAGATATATAATAAAAATAAGATGCGAATAAGAATAGTGTTGCTTGGGGATGCTTTACCAGAATTGTAGTGTTTTATGATTCTTTGAATCAGCAAAAGCGAATAGACAAATGTTGGAAACGAATTCAAAAGGTTTTGAAGTTAACACTTATAGTCTTCCGTTTCAAAGTTAATATTTTAATTGATTTAATTCCTATTATGATGCAGATATATTTGGAAAAAGATAAATTTATTAAAAACTCATTGCTGATTTTATGTGATATGATGTATGATATACTTAAATGGATTTTAATACAGGTCTAATAAGGAAACAGATTTGCTGATTAGTAGGAGAATGTGTGGATTGGGCGGTCAAAGATTGATAACAAACCAAAATTTTCGTTTTATAGTATCGTATTTGATTTGAATGGAATTTGAATTTGAGTTTGATTGTATTTGAATTTGAATGTATTGACTTTTGACTTAGACTTCCGTTAATAATGCTTTGGGCGGGAATTAGTTTCTGAGAAAAGAGGTGGAAATGACACGTGGATTGTTATGGGTTATTAGAGGGACATGTGGCACCTTAGAGAGGTTTGGTTTTTATTAGGAAGAGAGATTTCGACAAGATGATTATGTCTGAGATAATCTACTAAAGCACTACCGCATTAAACACATTAAATATACAATAAAAAACCACAATAACATGGTACAATTTACCATTTATTACAATAAAAACATAAAAACCTTGGATTGTAGTTCGAAATTTGGTACCAAAACTTTCCAAAACATATGGAACTAGTAGATACAAAATTCCGAACGAACTATGTCATTTGTAGGTAGGCCAAAACATGTATTTCAATAAATGACGATAATTTTTTAGGGTTAATATCATAATATGGTAATGAACTATGTATAATGTTCAAAAAATACCCATAAACTAAAAAAATGTTATCAAAGGTTAACAAATTATTTAAAGTGTTAAAAGAAATACTACAGTGACCATCTATGGTTGGTTTAACAAGTCACATTTTTTGTCAATGCCATAAATAGCTAACGAACTGTTTAACATGTTAAAAAAAACATCCATGAACTAAAAAATTGTTATCAAAAGTTAACGAACTATTTTAAATGTTCAAAAGATACCATGATGACATATTATAACAAGTTTAACAATTTAAGCTGAAACGTTTGTTCGAAAAACACTCATAAATCTGGAACGTTTGTTAAAAAACGCGATCGACCACCTCAAGCCTCGCTAATTTGCTAGACTATAAGGCGTCTATCTTGCAACTGTTGATGACTAGTTTTATGACATGTCAAATGTATTGCTATGGATAGATATCTATATCGTAGAAATATGATTTGAAAGATAATATATTGTTATGACTATATTGTTTAAAACTCTTCGAATTAATACACTACTTATTCGACGTCTTCTTTGGATCAATACACTCCTAAGTACACTTCTAATCCCAACTTATTTCTTGTTTTTTCATAAGATTGTTTTCATAAACACCATTTGTAACCAATTTCTAACCATAACAATATATGATCTCTAAAATCATATTTAAGATATAACTTTCTAACCATACCAATATATCTGATTCTTTAATCATTTTAGGGGTGGACGAAAAAAAAATGATCTAAAATGAATTATTGTTATATAAGTTCGCCATGGTATTTTGTGAACACTTTAAGTAGTTTGTTACCTTTTGATAACATATTTAGCTTACGGGTGTTTTTTGAAAATTTAAAAGAGTTCGTTACAAAATTCAAAATTCTGACAATAACACAAAATATGACATGCTTAACGTGATATAAGAAGTCACCATAGTATTATTTTTTTTAGAACACTTTAAATAGTTCATTACCTAATGACAACATTTTTTTTTTAATTTACGAGTTTTTTTTTTGGACATTATAAATAGTCTATTACCCTATTATGACATTAGCTTTTTTTTTTTTTTTTTTTCAAATGGCTCAAAATTAGTTATAAAAAACATTGACATTAATTTTGGGGTAAATGGCACAAAAAACACTCTTTTTACACAGAAATTCAATTTTGACACCGTGTTTTTTTTGTGTCAATTTTGACACTGTGTTTTCCAATTTGTTACAATTCTGACCACTTGACCGGTTAACCAGGTTGCATGCTGACGTGGCATGATGACGTGTCAGTTTTGATGACGTGGCATGCTGACATGATATGCTGACGTGTCAAAATTGAATTTTTTTCTCACAAAAAACACTAAGTTTTCATTTTTTTTTTCGATTTTGACACTAAGTTTAATTTTTTCTTTCAACTTTGACACTATGTTTTTTTGTTCCAAATCGAACATCATTTTTTCCAATTTTGTTCAATGTTGACAATTTTTTATTTGAAACCGTATAAATATTTTTTTAATACATTTAAACCGTATAAATATGTTTTTTTTTTCATTTAAAAACCATAGTATTGTATAAATACATTTTTTTTTACACTCAAACCATATTTTTATGTATAAATATGTATTAGTTATATAAAAGTTGTATTTTATATTAAATATGCAACTTTAAAATGTGGTTTTTAAACGGAAAAAAATATGTTTATACGGTTTAAAATGTAATAAAAAAATATATATTTATATAGTTTCAAATGGAAAATAGACAAAATTGAACAAAATTTGATAAATGATGTTCGATTGGAACAAAAAAACAGTGTCAAAATTGAAATAAAAAATTAAACTTAGTGTCAAAATCGAAAAAAGGTGAAAACTTAGTGTTTTTTGTGGAAAAAAAAATCAAATTTTGACACGTCAGCATATCATGTCAGCATTCCACGTCATCATGCCACGTCAGCATGTAACCTGATTAACCGGTCAAGTGGTCAGAATTGTAACAAATTGGAAAACACAGTGTCAAAATTGACACAAAAAAAAACACGGTGTCAAAATCGAATTTCTGTGTAAAAATAGTGTTTTTTGTGCCATTTACCCTTAATTTTGTGATTATTTCTAAAAAATAATATCTTTCACAAATCTCATACCTATAGGTTAAGATCCACGCAATTATTTAACTTCACATTAATTGATTTTTTTCTTTTATGTAATTGATTTCTAAATCCAATATAAATTATATATTTTTTATATATGAAATCAAACAAAACCAAAAATAAATCAAATCTAATCCCCTCCGTTAGCTTATGTTATGTTTGGTTGCTTTAATTTGGCCATATATACGACTTTCTTCTCACTATCAAAATAGTCAATATAGACAATGTACTTTATTTATTATAATTATAAGTAATAACAACATGACAATGTACTTGTGTTTTTTTCCTGCATTAGTGAATAATTGAAGTGGGAAATTAGTTAATATTTCAGAAAAAAAAAATTATTTTATAAGATCTGGATTTCTTTAAGTCATATAACATATATTTCTACTTACAATATCAACAAGATTTCAGCTACCAACAATTATGAGAGATTTACCACAAAAAGAAAAAATGAGACAAAATTGACCATAACTACTAAGACTATTGTTGCATAGAAGATGAGTAACCTGACTTATGTTTGACCATTTTGTCCCTTTTTTATCAGCAAAATTGACCAAAATGCCCATTGTGAAGCTATCAAAGTTGTGAATTTTGCTGGAGGGATTTCCGATTCTGGTTTCCTCAGTCTGCAATATTTTGCTCCTATAAACTGCAAAAAGGACTCTGAAAATGAATTTTTAATCATTAAAAAACATTAGGGAAAGAATCATATGACAAAAATGAAGATTCAGAAAAATACTTACATTTGATATTTCCAATCATAATGAAGAACAAAACTTTATTTCAGCAAATGTCAACAATAGACAAATCTTTCAAAGTTAGGAGAACAATTGTCCCTTGCTACCTCTGTTTTCAAAGAAACAAAAATAAAGATTCAGAAAAACAAATGAACTGAAATTTCTTGGAAAATGTTTTAAAAGAACCCTAATTCCAATTCATGCATTTTGGACATCAAAGAAATGTACCTTCTTGGTCTCAGAAACTCTATATAGATCAGCATGTATCTCAGTCAACCACAAACCAGGAAACAGTGTCTGCAATAATATCAATGGAAATACAAGTTAACAAGAATCAGAACAGGTTTTACACATATTCGAGCTATTTGATGCTTATAGATGAATTATAAGTTAATCTTATTCAATTGATAGTTACAAGATTATGTGAATAAGATAATAGCGTGCCTTGATGTGATCTTGTTATGAATTTCTTCAGATAGAATCTTTAAACTTTGTTAGGTAATCTCCTTTCCCTAACTTCTATCATTCAGCATTCTAATTTGATATGGGATATAAGTACGATTTGAATGCTGATATCAACATAATAGAGAATTGTTGGCAAATGAATTATGCGATCTAACAAAACATTAGATCACAGATACGTTGTGTATCAAATCCGTATAAACATGAGTCAAATCCAGGTTACTATGATTTATTTCCATAAGTATTAGATCGTAAATTATATGAAACAGGTACTTACATCCAGTTGATTTTGTACGATCTTAGGTCGCTTCTTAGGCTTCCGTGGCAGTCGCCGTTCCCCCATGTCCTCGAAGTCCTTCTCCATCTCCCGACGTGAAAGCGGAACAGAAAACTTTGGCCTAGCCTTTTCTCTCCTCTCAATTCCCTCAGCGCCACCGCATCCGCCGCTATTATCTACACCCGAAGACGAAGGTCGTTTGAATTGTTCCTCCTCATCAAGCTCTTTCTTAAAATTGAGTATTATCTTCTCCCAATTCGCTTCCATGTCTCCATCTTTAGCTTTTAATTTAAGTACCAACGCATCAACCACCGCCTGAGACGGTGGCCAAATTTCTAATTGCCCATCTACCGCCAAGTTACCGGCGACTTCAATTGAATTCGAATTATTCGCAGTGCATTTGGAAAGATTCGGTTGGGTTGTAAGCTTCGAAGAAGAAATGGTGGAATTGCTGGACGAGTTGGATTTCTCCAGCATTATTATGAATCGAATCAGATTTGATTGGATTGATTGGATTTCAAGGTTTTTGATTCTTGGTTGATGCGAAATTTGTCCGGGAGCTTTCCAGCTAGGTTTTCCGGCGAAAAGGATATTTGGGAGCCCAACCAAGACTATAAAGCCCAGCTAATAACTTACTCATCACAAAATAATAGTATTTTTTTTCCCCAAATGAAATAGTTTAATGCTCTTTAAAGAGGAAATTACAAATTTAGTACCTGAACTATCCCTCATTATGCAAATTTAGGTTTCTTACAATTGAATCTTGAGTAAACATAAAGGAATGGTCCATGTATTTATATATCATTGTTAGGTTCAGTCTAAAGTTAGGAATTTCTTTTGAAAGGGGTCCACATTGACATGTATGATTCTAAATTTGGTCTCTCCATTTTAATACCAATTTAGTTTTATTAAGTCATTGTTAAAATATCATTTTATCTCTACTTTATATCTTAGCTATTTTATTGCTATTAAATATGTTACAATACGCTTTGAGTGTTATTATTATTTTTTTTAATATTAATTCAGTTTAGATTATTATTCTTTACCTGTTACAATCTCCGATCATCTTGTAAACATATTTTGTCAACAATAATCAAACACGGCATCTTTTTTTTTGTTTTGAAAAAAAAATCAAATCTTAATGTCGAAAAACTATCAATAACACTATAAATATCAACATAAAAAGTAGAGGAATTATGAGCCAAAACAAAAACTTGCTAAATGTGATGGTGTTTTTTTTGAAAAAAATAGAAGTGAAGGGTTTTTTCGGAAAAACAATTGTGTGAAGCCAGCCGTTAAACTTGTTAAAATGATCAAATTGAAGCATATCAAAATACATAAAAGTTTTGTAGAAAAATAAAATAAGTTGAGGTTAAATTAGGAAGAAAAACCAATATATAGGGTCTTTTATGTAGTTAACCTAAATTAATATATTATTATAATCGGTAAATGACCTTTGATTCCATCGTTACCTTGAACGACAATGTTATAAAGGTCAATGGTTGCTAATTTACTCAGTCTCTCTTAGGAGAAGAAAAATGGAAACAGTGGGTAAAGTTGTAATCGCCATTGTTATAGCTGTGATAATAAGGCGAGGATGGAAAGTACTGAACTGGGTATGGTTGAAGCCGAAGAAGCTAGAGAAGTGGCTGAGAGATGAAGGGTATAAAGGTAATTCATACAAGCTTCTAATGGGTGACATGATTGAGCTTGGAAAGATGATGAATTTAGCGAAAAAAGATCCAATTCCAATCACCCATGATATCCTTCCACACATTCTGCCCTTCGATCATAAGATCATCTCCACATATGGTATTAGTTTCTTCTATCTTTTTCTCCATTATAATATTTTAATTATTCACATCTATCAAAATAATCACAAAAAACTTAAACTTTAAACAATTGATTATCAGATTCTTTAATCTTGAGCATGATGTCACACATGACATCGTCATATCATATTTGTAACTATCAGCTATAAACTAATAGCTAATTTTACTAAACTTATTGTTAATGATTTCATAGGTGAAAAATCATTCCTATGGTTGGGGCCAAACCCAAGGGTGTATATTAGGGATCCAGAGTTGATAAAGGAGATTTTATTAAGACCAAACGACTTCCAAAAGCCACACCCTGAGCCCTTTCGAGATAGCATCATTGGTGGCCTTCTTATCACCGAGGGTCATAAATGGAGCAAACATCGGAAAATAATCAATCCAGCTTTCAATCTTCAAAATCTCAAGGTGGGTGTATATAACTATCTATCTTTCTTTTTAGATCATTTTGATGTGCAAAATCTAAATCGATGGATTGATTATTGATATATATCTGCATGTAGACCATGTTCTCGGTTATCTGCTCGAGTTGTAGTGATATGGTGAATCAATGGGAGCTTCTAACAATGGAAACTGGTTCGATTGAAGTTGACGTATGGCCATATATAGATAATTTAGCAGGTGATGTGATTTCGAGAACAGCATTCGGTAGCTCTTATGAAGAAGGAAGGAAGATCTTCCGAATCCAGAAGGAACAAATCGAGCTTATATTCAAAATGATGTTTATACTTTATCTTCCCGGAAGAAGGTAATTAACAACAATGGTGATCTATGATCTAGTAATGTGAATCATAATTCATGAATATACATTCATTGTTCCGTTAATTCGTTTTGAAATTTAGGTTCATACCCACGAAAGCGAACAAGAAGTATAAAGAAAACATTAAAGAGCTTCACGTTGTGCTTAGTGGTATCATTAACAAGAGGAAGAAAGCGATCGAGATTGGAGAAGGTAGCTGCGATGACTTACTTGGAATTCTGCTAGAATCAAACTCGAAAGAAATTGAAGAATTTGGAGTCGGATTGAGTATGGAAGAAGTGATGGAAGAATGTAAACTATTTTACATCGCTGGATCTGAAACAACTTCGAATCTAATTGTTTGGACGATGGTTTGTTTAAGTTTGCATCAAGAATGGCAAATCAAAGCTCGAGAAGAGATCCTGCAAGTTTTCGGCACAGGAGAACTTGATTTCGAAGGTCTAAAGAATCTCAAAACCCTAACGATGATTCTCTACGAGGTTCTTAGGTTATACCCACCAGTAATCATGACAATTCGTTCGACCATCAAGGAAACGAAGCTAGGGAACATGATGATACCTCCGGGTGTGCAATTGGCGTTAGCAATGATATATATTCATCATGATCGGAAAGTATGGGGGGATGATGCGACAGAGTTCAGGCCGGAGAGATTTTCCGACGGGCTTGCGATTGCAACAAAGGGGAAAGGGTTTTTCCCGTTTTCAAGTGGTCCTCGTGTTTGTATTGGGCAGAATTTTGCTATGACGGAAGCAAGAGCAGCCATGGCGATGATTCTCCGGCGATTCTGTTTTGAGCTTTCCCCGTCTTATAAACATTCTCCGTTCCCGGTGTTCACAATGCCACCGCAGTTTGGTGCTAATTTGATTCTACGTAACATCTCGTAGCTTGAATTTTGTAGACTACAAATTTGGCAACATTTCTAGACATAAATATGTTATACGTTGCATCATAATATTACAAATAATAACCAAGTGGTATATATAAAAATTATTATGCATTCACATATATATATATATATATATATATATATATATATATATATATATATATATATATATATATATATATATATATATATAGGAATGATCATTTGAGAACCTATACTTTTCCGAGAAACCGAGAACTAAAAGTGGAACATTAGATCAAAATTTTTAATGGTCTAGATGAAAAATGGCAGATTTGTAATTATCAATAATTTTAATGGTATCTTAGACTTTTTAAAAGACATAAAATATATCATATCCTAATAACCAATTTAATTGATCAAGAAAAAAACATTTTGAATCTTTTCCTCACCGACTCCATTTATCTCTCTCTCTCTCTCTCTCACACACACACACATCTTCATTCTTCATGCTTCACGCTTTGCCATCGGAATCTATCCTTCACTATCGTCATTGCTTCATCGTTGTTGCTTCATCGGAACTCCGATTCTCCTTTCTGAGGTCAGATCTGAGTTTTCGACTCTAGAAGCGTCGTTCAATTCCGGTGGTTGTGGAACGAAGTGTTACGCCTCCGATCCTACCTTAGCCCAAACCACCGCAATCGCTTCTCTCTCACGTCGATTCGTTTCCCCCAAAAGCACCACTGTTCGACGACGTCACGGCGAATCTCCACTGTTCGACGACGTGTTCAGGTCTCTCAACGGAATACTGAGTCAATTTCATGTTCAGCTTCCCTGATAGTAACCCTGGAAGAAAGGAAGGGTGAAATACTGAGTCGAATCTGTCCATTAGGCCAGGGTGTATCGGGAGTATAAGGTTGTCGGTGGGGCGATGAAGGCTAGGGCAAGCTCGTTGACATATTGGCAAATCACTTCGACGTTATTTCTCGTTGTAAGGTACCTTCCTCTCCCCAATTTCTTTGCAAAATGTTCGATTTTAGATACATAAATTTATATTCTGATGTTATGCATCTAAGGTAAGCTCCGTCCATTTTAATGTTCTTAAATATCTTAGGGATGAGCTAACGTCAGACATACTATCTCTCTGAAGTCAAGAAATTCATGCTTCATCTTGTTTCTTTTAATGATTCTCAACGAGGATACTATGTGTGTTATAGGAAATAAAGTTGTAGTCCATCTTCCTGACTTTTGTTGTTAAGTTGTTATTGTAAATTCAAGCATTTTTCTCAATGATTAAGTTTGATTTTATTACTTGCTTTGCTTATATATTCTGTTATCTATTTTTTGTATACTGGAAATATAGATATTGAATAGTTAAGTGGTTTGTTGAATTTGTCTAAATACTCCATGTTCACCATCAATCTTATACTTGTGATTTTGTTGCAAATTAACTATTATACTTGTAAAATGGAAAACATATTCAACCTTTAGTAAAATTTATGGAATATGGAACCAGTATGATCCTATCTGTAACTCCATAACTTCTAGTTTTAGCCTTGGAATTGTTCCAAAATCCATATTCAACCGAAGTCCTTGTAATTCATTAACCATCATATGGTAATTAACCATGTAATTCACATATGAATTACATGTGATTCACATATGAATTCCATGTGATTCACATGTAAATCACAAGTGAATCACATATGAATTACATGTGATTCACATGTAAATCACATGTAACATGTAACTAACATGTAACATGTAATTCACATATGAATTACATGTGATTCACATATTATTACCTTAATTTATGAATAGGGTTTTATTGTGTATATGAATAGTGTGATGAGTTCTAGTATCAGCAACTCGAGTATGAGATTTGTCTGCCTTCAAATTGAGGTGATTATTCTCACTATACTGTGTAGGATGCTAGATGTCTTTGTGACTCTTGCATGTGTATGTTAGGTTGGGCCCATTTATTTGTATGTTGGGTTGGGACCATTTATATGGTATGTGGTATTTTGGGGAACTCATTAAGTTTTGTGCTTACTGTTTTTTTGTGGTTTAACATTTTCAGGTACTTCTAGTTATAAAGGGAAGGGACCGACTTGGCTGCACAACGCTTTCCCCTACGACTTTCTGCATTAATGATTTTTATTATACTCTGATATTTGAGATACTTTTATATCATGCTTG